ATTTACCAAGAATTTATGGGCATTCTGAAACTAACGGGTCTTAATGCAAACGCCCCAGTCGATTATGTTAATTCGTTTGGTCAGTCAGTGCATATTCAAAGCGGAACTAGTTGCACATTTATCCTCAAAAACATTCGGGTGTGCTCGGATGCCTTGCCTGGGAACGCCACGGTATTACACGCTTTCTGACTGAAAGACAGCGAAGAATATGGGGCTTGCCATCCTCAGACACTGAGAAGCATTACCAAGGTAATAATTACTCGAAATATACAATAATATGTGTTCATAGAGCGATTTCTTTACGCAAGTGCGATGCTCGACTCATAGGCCTGCAAGCATCTACTATGCTTTGGCTAACTTAGCTTTAGAAAATCGTAAATCTAGAGATGCTAAGTTGATATCAAATTCATTATCGTTTGGATACTATAGAGGTCGTGTTAAACAGTTTAGGAAATCATATCAATTATATTACATTTTAACATAACAAATTCAGGTCTGATACAAGCTCTGAGATTCACATGGGCCTACTCAAAAAGACACATTTTTGTCAATTTGATCACAGTTATAACAATTTTCAACATCATTCCAATGTATAAATGTATAATTTGTACTGCAATACAAATTAAGGGTCTCGCATCATACATGGATTAAGGTAATTAACACCTATTTGAATGATAGTCGTCCATTTAAAGAACGAGGCTCAGTTGAGTCTATTCCAATTCTACATGATCTGATCCTTAAAAATAACTTTCATAATAATAATAATAATAATAATAATGTATTTTAGTTGAATAATAGCCTATACAAAAATGAAAATTCAAGGATAAGTAAATGTGTACATAATGTGTTTTTTTTAAACTATTCAACTATTTACTCAGAAAACATGTATTACTGTGTAATCTAATAACAAAACACTGTTATTCATTGACAGATCATATAAGATATGGAAGCTATATGGCTGTACCAGTTCCGGCTGATTGTCATTGGCGACTCGACGGTGGGGAAGTCTTGTTTGATCAGACGCTTCACAGAAGGACGTTTTGCACAGGTGTCTGATCCTACTGTCGGCGTAGACTTCTTCTCCCGTCTGGTAGAGATTGAACCAGGCAAACGCATCAAGCTTCAGATCTGGGACACGGCAGGCCAAGAAAGATTCAGGTACATCTAGTGGCATTTGATGACATTTACATGTAGCTATCACAGCTACGTGCATTCTCTAACTGTAATTCTAAGCAATTCATAATAGGAGATCTGTGGCTTTTAGTCTATGATTGTTAGCTTTGAGGCTTTCTGTATGCGAGCGTACACCTAAACTTTGGCAAAATTCTTTTTTTTGGCAGATCAATGCATTTCAAATGTATAGTCTTTCTCTTTCAGGAAAACAAGCCAAAACATTGATGCCTCATCCTGCACTACACAGATTTTTTGACCAATCAAATGCTCTCTAAAATGAGGACATCCCTCCCCTGCTGCTACTTAAGCTAACTAAACACTATTGGCACACATTAACACAGCTGCTTAATGACTTCATCGTGCTTAAGAAGGAAGATACATTTATGATTTTGTTTTTTTATTTAAAAACCCCCAAATGTTGGAATGGCCTTACATGTTAGTTTTTAATAAGCAAGTTTCATTGATTTGATTTCAACATTTCCTTATAAGAGGACAATACATGCAATCTTAGACATTAAACACAAATAAAACATTTTAGTACATTGACAGAAGAAACATTACTGTGCACGTATTACACAAAAAAATTGCTGTAGAAACAGTTTTCACTCAGAAATTTCTAGTAAATTTCACAAATAATAACAAAGAAATGGTGAATAACACACTGAATTAAACATGAAATCAGTTTTAAAGTAGAATATCTTAAATTGTATTATCTTGTAAAATGCACTCTGATAATCTTTGTTTTTCTGCTTTCTTTTTAGAATTTACTCAGTTAAGTATTTTGTCTTAGTACCAAATCCATATGTAAGCTTATGCGTCTTATTACACATTATTGTAACTATATACACAAAGACTTTGACATTTTCCTCCCATGCAATCTTGTTCCCAATCTGGATATTTGTAGACTTCAAACTTTCAATAGGCCTACTTTTCTTTTCTTAAACCTAATTTTTCAATAGAATTTCCTATTAGAATTTTAAAACTTCCTATTCTAGATCTGGTCCCAGTGGAAGATTATAAAGATATATTTTATACTAAATAATAAATTAAAAACATGCCAGTGATAGAAGAAGTGTGTCATTGTACATATGAATTGCATTAAATAAATTAAAAGATGGGACAGAAAAAATTTGCATCATAGTAGTCTCTACATCACATAGATTTCATAAACTATTTCAACCCGCTCACTAAATTCCTGGATTTCAGGCTGTGATCATTTTCTGCTTGTAGCTTTCTTATAGGCTATTAGCATAAATTCCCATCAAGTATTTGCATGCTCGTTTAATGTAATTGAATACAAATTAAGTCATCCTTTTGAATATAAAATACCGCTCATCCACAGCCGTTAATTTATATGATGTAACATGCAACGTGTTCAACCACCTGTCTGATATCGTCTGCTCTTCTCTGTATGTGATCTAGATCTATCACAAGGGCTTATTATCGTAATTCAGTGGGTGGCCTTTTGCTTTTCGACATCACCAACCGCCGCTCTTTCCAGAATGTCCACGAGTGGCTGGAGGAAGCGCGCAGTCACGTGCAGCGGCACAGCATTGTCTTCATACTGGTGGGCCACAAGTGTGACCTGGAGCAGCAGCGGCAGGTGAGCCAGCAGGAGGCCGAGAAACTGGCAGCCGCTTACGGCATGCGCTACGTGGAGACCTCGGCGCGCGACGCCATAAACGTAGAGAGGGCCTTCACGGAGCTTACGCGCGATATCTACGACCTAGTCAAAAGTGGTGAGATCACCATCCAGGAGGGCTGGGAGGGTGTTAAGAGCGGTTTCGTGCCCAACGTGGTGCACTCATCCGAGGAGGTGACCAAGAGCGACCGCCGCTGCCTCTGTTGATCAAGTGACTTCTGTATCATGCTCCTTCACTGCAAAACCAGTGCTGTCGTTCTCCCTTAGCTTGACAACCCACAAATACTCTCGTCCCCTCGATCAATGTTTCCTGCTTTCATAGTTACTTCGAATAAAGTTCCTATTCTCTTTAAAGCCAATACAAATAATGACCTAAATGTGACCCTGGACCACAAACTCAGTCACAAGGGTCCATTTTTTTTAAATTTAGATTTATACATCAACAATAAATAAGCTTTCCATTGATGTATGCTTTGTTAGGATAGGACAATATTTGGACAAGATACAACTATTTGAATATCTGAGGGTGCAAAAAAAATCTAAATATTGAGAAAATTGCCTTTAAAGTTGTCCAAATGAAGTTCTTAGCAATGCATATTACTAATCAAAAATTACATTTTGATATATTTACGGTAGGAAATTTACAAAATATTTTCATGGGACATGATCTTTAGTTAATGTCCTATTGATTTTTGGCATAAAAGAAAAATCAACCATTTTGACCCATAAAATGTATTGTTGGATATTGCTACAAATATATACCTGTGCTACTTATGACTGGTTTTGTGCTCCATGGTCACAAATATCAGCAAATGTGAATTTCCTGGAGCTTTGGCAAGTCTTCTCGGTCAATCTGGCAGGATGGAACCTAGAGAACTGAGTTGTGGGAACTGTTTAAGGGAAAACAATGCAGAAACACTGATCCTTTGGAGCAAAGACTGATCTGAAGTTTAAACCAAAAGTTCACCTAGAAATTATGGATCATTTGAGAGCATGTACAGGAGGACCACACCAATCCAAATAGCCCCTAATGTGTTCACTTAGGATGCTCATTAACAATAATTTTCTGTAATTTCTTTTTGAATTAAATTTCTAGTTTTATTCAGCAAGGATGCATTCAATTGGTCAAAGGTGACAGTAAAACCTTCAATATTATTACAGAAGTTCAAATATATGCGGTTCTTTCAACTTTCTATTCATCAAAGAATCCTGAGGGAAAAAAAATCAATGTATCATGGTTTCCTCAATGATATTAAGCAGCACAACTGTTTTTACCACCGATAATTTTAAGAAATGTTTCTTGGGCATCAAATCAACAAATTAGAATGATTTCTAAAGCACCACGAGATACTGAAGAATGGAGTAATGACTATGCTCTTACAGGAATAAATTACATTTTAAAATATATTATAATAGAACGCATTCATCTGTACACAATATTGTAATTTGTACTGTATTTTTGATCAAATAAATGCAGCCTTGGTGATAATAATACACTTCATTCGATACATAAAAAATCTTACCAAACCCAATGTTTTGAATGTTGATTATTTATATGCTGGGACCTCTGATTGAATAATTCAACAGTAGGGGGGGGACTTCTGTTCCTTACGGTCAAGCCTCATCACCTGATGAGGAGATGATGACGAATTTCGTCATCGATTTTTGGTTATACCAATAATAGGGAATATGAAAAGTCAGGTTTTCCTTCAGGATGCACCCTCATGATTGTTAAATGATCTGATACATACTAAATAAAATGCATTTTAAATCACTACATGCAAATCTCAGATATCATAAACCTTACAAAAAACACTCAATTATGGGGAGCCGCATTTGAGTTTCCCACCTTTTTCCTCATTCAAAATGGTCATGATATCACTAAAGACACTTTACCAACATACTTGTCTATAAAGCACTGTTAAACCATGTCCCTGATTTTTCTGGTTTGGTTCTTATTAATAAAAGTTCACTCTTTCATAACTGAGGTTAGTAGCTGCTGAGATGTACATTTTTGACTTGCAGACTAATACAATGTCATTTAGCTGACCGAAATGACTATTAACTGTGTATTTATTGATCTTGTGTGAGAGAGGAGATGAACGATCAATAAAATGTGTGACACAAAAGATTTTGTGTCTAAAAATGATTTCCTTCTCATATATTTTGCACAACAAACCGCCTCTGTTTTGCGAAACATTTTATTTAAAAAAAAGAAAAGCATGAACAGAATTTTTATAATACAGCTCATTTTCTTTGTACATGGCATGAATATTTACAGTTTAAAAAAACCCAAAGACAAAAATATCTATAGTGATAAACACATGTAACACTACAAGTGTATCTCAAAGGCATATGACTTGGATGACCAATCATCTTTGAGGTACATTTGAAACAGCAGGCACTGATCTACAGGAGACACACGTCTCCAAACAGAATCAAAACTTTGTAATGCCTAGGGATCAGACAACAATGCGTCACCAGACACGTTTACATGCTAAACTTTACATTTCTGGAACATGTAAACAAAGCCATTTTTAGCTGATTGTGAAACACAAACATAACAGAGACAAAAATGAGCTTCTAATAATGAAGTCTATGTTAATATATTAAAGACAAAATGGGTTAAAAAATAATAGTGGTTTTAAACAACTTCTACTCTATTCTGTCGCACAGACAAGCCTCCGTTGCTCTCCGATTATCGGCTGAATAGGAGCTGAATTTCAGCATCCTGAAGGGCTTAAATATTCATACCATAAAATATCAAAAAGGTATGATGAGAGCACAGGATAAGTTTGATTGAGCAACAGTAAACTAGTATTCCACTACATTACAAATTCTTTACAATAAAGGTACATGAGCTCAATGGAAAGTAAAAAACAAAAAAGTCAAAAATAGTGACACTTTTTTTTTCTCAAGTATCTACACCTTCAGAAATGAAAGAAAGGCTGTTGAAAGCCCGTTTCTTTAGGTCTTCCGTCTTCAGGCAAGTTTAGGTTTTACCCTTGACCTGAGAGTTAGTTATTACAGTAAGTTAGCACAGTAACCAGCATTACAAATTCTTTACAATAAAGGTACATGAGCTCAATGGAAAGTAAAAAACAAAAAAGTCAAAAATAGTGACACTTTTTTTTCTCAAGTATCTACACCTTCAGAAATGAAAGAAAGGCTGTTGAAAGCCTGTTTCTTTAGGTCTTCCGTCTTCAGGCAAGTTTAGGTTTTACCCTTGACCTGAGAGTTAGTTATTACAGTAAGTTACCACAGTAACCATAGTTTCTGCTCAAAGATTACAGTTAATACTGTTACAAATGAAAGATTATTATGGGGTATTTCCTTCAAACAATATAAGTAGCTTTCAGAATCCTTCAAGTCAGTGGTGGTTACTATCAAATTAGCAGTTGGTACAGATAACCGTAGATACACTACCGTTCAAAAGTAAATACTTTGATAGAAGACTCTTATGATCATCAAGGCTGCATTTATTTGCTCAAAAAACAGTAAAATCATGAAATAATATTACAACTCTAAATAACCTTTTTCTATTTTAAAATGCAGCCTTTTAATAAGTTTCATATAACTTTATAATTATTTGATAATTGATAGTTTCATATAACTTTATAATATGAATTTTTTATAATTCATTTTATTATAATAAACATTTTTCAAGATTCTTTGATGGCAATTATTTGGAATAGTATTATACATGTCTTTACTGCCAACTTTTCAATTTAAGGCATCCTTCCAGAATAAGAGTATTCAATTCTTAAAAAAAATAATAAATAAATCTTTTGAACGGTAGTGTAAGTAGTTTTGGCAGAAACAACAGTTACGAAGGCAACCTTCCATAAATGTTGTCTAGAAACACTGTTATACAGTATGCCAAAGTAAAATCATCAAGTTTAAGGAGTTGGATGGGTAAACTATACATGTCCACATAAAACAGTTTTTTCCAAAAAATGATTTAGTATTTTGCAAAACGGAACAGATTCTAGCGCAACCTTATACAATCCATTCAAAACTCTCTCTCTCTCTCACACACACACACACACACACTTTAAAATACTAGCATTTTATACCACATTGGCCAATAACATTATCCCAACACACAGCAGACAGCAGTGCTAATAACACACCGTCATACTTAGGAAATGGAAACCATTTTTCTATCTATACACTAGTCGGACAACTCTCAAACTGATGGGATTTTAGCATTTCAGTCAGTTTTTTCTTTTCAGTTTCATTTCTTCAATTATTCTCCCACAAATACTGTCCAAACGGTATTGCCATTTTCAAATTGTGAACACTAGGGGTCCCTGTTGTACTTCACAACCTCATTCTGGGAAACCAAGAGGTGAAAGGAGACCATTTTGGACCCAAAGTTGCACAAACAACACGCTTGAAGTAATAAACATTTTTCAAGATTCTTTGATGGCAATTATTTGGAATAGTATTATACATGTCTTTACTGCCAACTTTTCAATTTAAGGCATCCTTCCAGAATAAGAGTATTCAATTCTTAAAAAAAATAATAAATAAATCTTTTGAACGGTAGTGTAAGTAGTTTTGGCAGAAACAACAGTTACGAAGGCAACCTTCCATAAATGTTGTCTAGAAACACTGTTATACAGTATGCCAAAGTAAAATCATCAAGTTTAAGGAGTTGGATGGGTAAACTATACATGTCCACATAAAACAGTTTTTTCCAAATAGTATTTTAGTATTTTGCAAAACGGAACAGATTCTAGCGCAACCTTATACAATCCATTCAAAACTCTCTCTCTCTCTCACACACACACACACACACACACACTTTAAAATACTAGCATTTTATACCACATTGGCCAATAACATTATCCCAACACACAGCAGACAGCAGTGCTAATAACACACCGTCATACTTAGGAAATGGAAACCATTTTTCTATCTATACTCTAGTCGGACAACTCTCAAACTGATGGGATTTTAGCATTTCAGTCAGTTTTTTCTTTTCAGTTTCATTTCTTCAATTATTCTCCCACAAATACTGTCCAAACGGTATTGCCATTTTCAAATTGTGAACACTAGGGGTCCCTGTTGTACTTCACAACCTCATTCTGGGAAACCAAGAGGTGAAAGGAGACCATTTTGGACCCAAAGTTGCACAAACAACACGCTTGAAGCTCGATCCCAAAAATGAAATACCCTGTACACCAGACAATATGGCCATCACTGTACTAGCGATTACAGCAGGACATTCAAACCAGCATTTGCAGTACTGGAGGGCCAAGGCTGCACAACAACCTCTTAACGGAAAACACTTAGGGTTCTTTTAAGAATCCTTTAGCAATTGAGACGTTTGGGGCAGTTTCTACAATGAATGAGCCACGTTTTCACAATAAATCTGTAACCTCAACAAAAATGCGTAGGGCAACATGCCCGTCAAACTCTCCCTATCAAAGAGAAATGCCCTCCACTTCACTCTCCTCACCGCCTAGGTATATGGGGCTTTTGTTCTGAAGGGCCGGCTCGTATTTTCGGAGGGAGCTGTTCATGGCTTCTGTGCTGTTCCGGATGCCGTAGCCGAAGTAGATTGCGAAACCTGGGAACGGACATGAGAAAATAAGTGGGTGGTTTGGAATGAAGGAAACAAACAGGACGCTATCGCAGGCAGAAGCTAAATGAACAGATGTCCTCACCGACACACATCCACACGGTGAAGCGGCACCAGGTGGCCACGTCCAGCTGCATCATGAGATAGATGTTGACAAAGATACTGAACAGAGGCAGCCAGGGCAACAGAGGCACCTGCACACAGGAAGATTTAGATTTAAGGTTAGAACAATGTATGACTTTTCAAATATGAGCACATTTTGAAATACCAGGTATCGCAGACTTGTTGGTTTTGTAAATGGTTACAGAGGAAAAATACTTTCAGGTCATTCTGAACACAAACTTGTGCAGAAATGTGCACCTTGTTGCACGGGACACATGACAAATGAAAATCAACTTAAAATGTTAAACATGTTTGAAATCCTCAGACTGGATGGAATCATAGTTTGGAGGCATTTTCTTTTTACCCCAAATTCCATTTTATTTAATTTTCTTTTTTCAAATTCCATTTTTTTTCGCCATTTTACTTTTTTGGATTCCATTTTTTTCTGGATTCCATTTTAATGGTTAAATTAAATTGTGGTATTAAAAAACATGTCTTTAATGAAAGTTACAATTAATTAATGAAACTTTTACAATTTAAGAAAAAAAATTTTTAATGTTGAACAAAAATTACATTTATAAGACCCTATGAAATCTTTGATTTTTCCCCTAAATTCTATTTTATAAAAACTGTGTGCTAAAATCAACTCAAAATATTAAACATGTTTGAAATGCTCAGACTGGATGAAATCATAGTTTGGGGGTGTTTTTTTTTATCTCCCCAAATTCCTTTTTTTTTTTTTTTTCATTTAAGTTTTTCTGGATTTAATTCCCCCCCCCACCCCCACCCCCCCAATTTCATTCCATTTTAATGGTTAAAATAATTTTGGGTAATAAAAAAAGAAGGTCTAATTAATTAATTAAACTTACAATTTAACAACAATTCATTAAGTTTAACAAAAATTTAACTTTTAAGACCCTATGAAATATTTAATTTTTTCCAAATTGTTTTGTTTTAATTTTTTAATTCCATCCCCATTTTATTGATTTAATACATTTTTGTAATCAAAAAGTATGTCTATTCAATTGAATTTGCAAAACTTTAACAATTTACTAATTCATTAAAATGTTATTTTTCCAGAAATGACCCATTCCTTCATTTATGATTTAATACAAATGTAATATCTGTCATAATCAAATAAAGGCATAATTCATTAACTATTGAATTAATCTTTTAACATGTAATCAAATGAAAATGTAACTTAAACAGACGTTTACTGTTAAAATGCACAAAAAAAAAAAAGTGATATTACACATTGTAAATTCAATTTTTAATGACTGTATTCCATCTGCGTTTTCTGAATCACAGAAATCAAAGGGCCCTTTATTTGGTGTTACAAAGAAAAAAGAAATTCATACAGGTTTGAAACGACATGAGGGCGAGTAAATGCTGACAGGACTCTCATTTTTGGGTGAACTGTCCCTTTAAGTGATAAAAAAAACAAATACTGTCCCTTGTGAGTATTTGTGTTCTAATAGCGCATTTCCTTTTACATCACTTCAGTGCTTACGTTCAAGCCCGAGGCAAAGATTTATAGCCTAATAAAAGGTCAAATCAATAACGAGGACATCTGGTACCTTGAAGGTGAGAGCTTCCTTGCTCTCAGGCTGCCTCCAGATCACAATGACACACGGGATGCACAGCAGGACCAGAATGACACACGCCGTCACCCACACGATCTCGAGATTCATGATGGCTTCCAGCCGCAGAGCCAAAACCACGCATAGCACGGTGATCAGCACAGCTACACAGACAAGAGGATATTAGAATTAGTGCATAGTCAACAGATTCAGGATGAGCCAAATCACTGAATCACAATGAAATAAATACAAATAACTGGGTCTATGCAGAGTGTACATACACTACAGTACCATTCAAAAGTTTGGGCTTTTTTAGGCTTTTGTGCTCACCAAGCATTTATTAAATTAAATTAAAATTATATGTATGCATTTAGCAGACGCTTTTATCCAAAGCGACTTACAGTACATGCAGGCTATACATTTTTTATCAGTATGTGTTTTTTTCTCTGGGAATTTAACCCACGACCTTTGCGCTGCTAACGCAATGCTCTACCACTGAGCCACAGGAACATTTATTTATTTGATCAAAATAAGAGTAAAACAGTAATATTGTGAAACAATTTCAAATAACTGTTTTCGATTTTAATACATTTCCAGAAATCATACTAAATCATTTAGAAAATCATTTTAATATGCTTATTTTGGTGCTGACGAACATTCTTTGAATATTAACAGTGTTGAAAACAGTTTAATATTTATTGCTTAATACGGCTGTGATATACTTGTTTCAGGATTCTTTGATAAATATAAAGTTCAAAAGAGCAGCATTTACTTGAGTTGAAACGGAAATATTTTGTAGCATTATCAAAATATTCTCTGTCACTTTTGATCCAATGAATGCATCCTTGCTGAATATAATTCCTTGCTAAGGATAATCTTTTTCAACAACAAAAAAAAAATGCACAAATTGTACTGACCCCAAACTTTTGACTTTTAGTGTATATTTTTAATCACAAATTCACACCGGGGTTGTAAAATAACTCTCATTTAAAGTTAATATTTAAAACACTAATAATTTAATAACATTTAAATGTAATATTTAGCAAATCTCATAAAAAAATATTCAGTTTCATACTGTACATTCTAATATTGTGACGCCTCAATCCACTTAAATGTACGATTTTATTATTTATTTATTTTTTATTTAATTTAGACAAAATCCCTAACTCACCCTTTTATAGTTAACCCAATTCTTTTTTTTATTTTTGGGTCAGCTGTCTCTTTAAAGGTCCCCTGAAGTGGCTTGAAACACCCAGCATTATTCTATGTGGTGACGTAATTTCAACTGAAACAGAAAGAGAGGGCGGGACAT